AAATTTCAGCGAGATGAGTCTTTTGCTTAAGGTTGATGGTACTATTCGGTATGGATATATTCGTAATAAAGTGCATGCTGCAACTGTGTTTATCGTCAAAATTAAAGATAGCAGTGGATTACGAAGGCACAAATAGGTGCAGTACATTACATTTGTGGTGTGGTTATCCCATTTGCATTTCCACGATGGATTTTTGTTTGTTTTGCATCAGTGAAAAAAGGTTTCAGACCAATAATATTTCGGTAAAAGTTACAGTAAGGGTGCAGCAGAGCACGTGAAAACACCATCATTTTGTACCCCGGGACATAAGGTGACATTACGATTTAATGGGTAGTAAATATATGACCAAAAAAAGAACTAAAATGCAGAGCGTATACAGCATAAAATCATAGGAATAATAAATTAATGAACCAAAAACTGTGCGTGATAAATAAACTGAGAAACGAACCCAATAGAAATCAAGGACGTCCAATACACTCCAAGAGGACACATTTGGCGACTATATTTAACCCTATATAAACTCCATTTGAACGCTATACCAACTTTATCTCAACTGTATATAAACTGGGCTACTTACCTCATTTTTAATTTCACAATAACTTATAGGCCGAAAAGCAACTGTATATCGTCAAACAGAGAAAAGCTGAACTAAAAATACACGAAACAAACAGGACTACATCATACTGAGGAAACAGCCAATGTCAAATTAGCAAAATAACACATGGCCACTGCTACGAATTAATAAGACAGTTATGCGAAAAAGAAGCGGTAGTCAACACTAAATTCTACTGTCACCTGCATTTCGTATCTATCCTCCAATTGACGCCATCCTTTGTTTCGAGACCTAATGCCTGTGCGTCACTGGTATGTTTTATTCAGGAATAGACGCAGAAGAGATTATGCTATTTCCGAGCCGAGGTACCCCATATCAGTGACAAGCGTCAGAAACATACGACCAGCTACTCAACCGCGGCCGGTTTAGCAATGATAGCAGAGAAAAGCGAGGAGAAACAATGTGTGAATCTCCACACAATCGCTCGATTAGACGTCAAACTCTCTAATTGTTGATACAGGGACCCGCTTTGCTGTCAATAACAATGACGCTTTTAACTGTGTAACAGTCACGTTCTTGTTTCTACACATATTTCTTCATGTAGATTCTATAATTCGGCTAC